TACCGCTGCCAAGTCCATGGACGATTGCCGTCAAGGCGGCACGTGTCGCTCAACTGCACGTGCACCACAGCCTCGTACAAGAGCCCGAGCAGCCTGCTCTTCGTAGTCTTCTCCAGCTCCTCGCCCAACACGAGTGGCCGCGACGTCACCTCGTCCCGCGGATCGCGCTCCTGCCTCCGCCTGCCTAAATCAAGTCCCTCAACCGAGTACACACAACGAAGAAAGTCCGACAATTTTATTTAGCATAGTTTTATCTATTGTAATAGACGACCCACTTCAACAGCAACCACACACAGAAAATGGACCGTACGTGGTCCGATGTGCGCTGTTCGAGCAGCGAGTAGCCGCAGGTGCTGCGACCTAGGGCAGGCGGAGACTGCACATATCGGCGCTTCCCTTACCGCCGTCACCATAAAAGTCACATTGCGCGAGGACGTCCAGGAGTGTCGTGCTCGGACGCCCCCAACGCGTTTCACGAAGCTCTTTGACGGTAGCAACAATTTGGGCCGGCAGATTGGCCGCAAGCACTGTACAGCTTAACTTTGAGACCGACACTTGCTGCATTGTCCGTACGAGCTCAGTTCTCATCTATGTATTTTGGCCGTGTCGATGGAGAATATTGTCATCCATCGGTCAATGCCACACACAACGTTCAAACGGAACCACCACTTTGGATACATTCCTAGTATTTAAAGAGACGACACGAGACACACGCGCAGCTACATCTGCGACTGGTTTACTTCTTGACGATGCACGAGCCGTTGACCGTGCCCTTGCCGCCGGCGATGCGGTAGCACTTGGTCGACGGGAAGATGGCCATGATGTTGCTCGTCAACGAGAACGAGAGCGCGCCAAAGAACATGATGATCAAGATGACGCCCGCGAGCTTGCTCGAGCCACCGCGCTTCTTGAGCTCCTGCATGGCGGCCTTCTGCGGCGGCAGCATCCAGAGCCAGAAGAGCGCACCGATCTTGCAACTGTACGAGATGATGTAGCAGTATGCGACTTCCCACCGGATCTCGGGCGTATCCGACTTGATGTTGTCGACTGAGACGAGGAAGTACGAGTCAATGTACTTGTAGAGGACCGATGCGAACGGCGACGCGAGGTTGGAGATCGTCGTGACGAGACCGTACGTGGCGCCCTCGTTACCAACGTCGGCAATCTCGACGGCGCAGTACGTGGCGACGATGAAGCGGACACCGCCCGGCACGTTGTCGGCGAGCGCGACACCCGTGTAGAACCACTGGTTGCGGAGCCCGTCAAAGATGGTCATAAACATGACAAAGCTGTCAATGGCTACGACACCGAGCGACGAGAGCGCGATCGTCCAGCGCCAGTTCCAGTTGAGACCCCACTTGCCGACGACGACGAGGATACCGGAGAAGATCAAGCTGCCAATGACGGCCGAGAGCGAGTCGTTGAGCGGCTCGACTTTGGCCCAGTAGGCGGCGATGGGACTACCGGGCGTCGCGCCCATGGCCTGGAAGCAGTTGTTGACAAAGCGGAACGCGCAAATCTGCCACAAGACGCGCTTCTGGAGGAGGTTCCAGAACATGCTGGCCCACTCGGTGAACGGGACGCGCGGCGTCTTCTTCTCGACGACCACAAAGATGGTGGTGAAGACGACGAAGACACAAGGCACGAGGCAGATGCCAAAGACGACGTTGGGGCTGACCGAAAAGTCAAACGACCCACTGTACACCTTGCCGTTGAGGAAGAAGGCGATGACGAGCTGCGCAATGACACCGGTCATCGTGCGCACAACGTAGATGGCGGTCTGGACACGGCCGCGGATGGCCACGGGCTCACGCTGCGCGTACTGGACGACCATGGCATCGGACGCGCAGGCCGCAATGACGTAGCCGAACGAGACGAGCATGCTCATCATGATAAAGAGCGCACCGCGGTTGGGCGCGTCCAAGTCGAAGAAGGCGTCGAGGTCGCTCTGGGAGAGCTTGGTGGTGGCCGTGTCGCACACCTTGGGGTCCTTCGTCAAGCGGCGGTCGCAGAAGGGCTTGCCAAACGGCGTGAACGTCATGACAGTAAGACAGATCATCGTGATGGTCCAGCCGATGAGCATCCACGACTTGCGGCGGTAGCCCATGATGGGCACGCAGTCCGAGAGCATGCCAAAGAAGACCTTGAACGACCAGCCCGTGGTGACGAGGACGCCGTACGACGCGGTCTGGTAGCCTTCCATACCGAGGTACACCGTGTAGAGCGGGTAGAGCAAGTTGGGGATCATGCCGTAAATGACACCGATCGCGCCGTACTGCGAGAAGAGACCAAAGGCTTCGCGCGAAAAGAGGTGCAGCGCACCGCCCTCGACGAGCGCGCCGTCTTCGAGCTCACCGGGCGTCTTGGCGTCCGCGTACCCGTCGCCGTTGGCGTCCTTGTCGTTGGTGTTGGAATGGATGTAGGAGACACGCTCCT